ACGAGCAGCCCTCTTCGGTGTCGCAGTCCCGGCAGCTGCAGAAAACCCGGCGGCCTCAGCGGCTGCAGCGGCAGAAGTAGCGGTGGTGGTAACAGCAGCGCGAGCAGTAACCAATGGTGGGCGTCCGTACGGTGCGAGGGGAAGGGGCTAGCGCAAGCGGTGGAGAGTCTCGTCGCGAACACTGTCGCGGAGTTCAGTGTCATCGAATAGAGATGACACGCCGCAGCCAGAGATGAAACAGAACAGTTGATCGCTGCATCTAAGTTGGAACGCGACGCGCTCGCCTAGTTACCTGTCTGGCTTGAAGACTTTACCCCAGTCAGCATTTGATGCATCCGCCACACAAAATTGACTTATCCCCTGACCTATCCCGTTAGTAGCCCGCGCTTTCTCCCACATCTTCACGTCGGATCGGAAAAGATGCGAAGGTTTTTCTCGCGCGAGCGCGAGTCAGAATGAAGTCCAATTCCGACGGGTACATACTTGGAGCTGCGTCTACAATTTGTTTTACGGAGCCGAGAGATTTTAGGGGCTAGGAGACTAGGTTGGGTTAGGTTAGGTTCATGATCTAGAGGATCTAGATTTTCTATTGCAGTACGTGTGGACTGTTTGTGTATATTTTTTTATTCATTGGGTCCTTTATTATGGATACAACACTGAAAAGGGGTTCAACCAAAGTACCAGCTTCTGCTGACCAATGGCCCGTCCACCCTCTCCTGCATCAGTTCAGCTAAACCGTTAGATGCACCTCAGTGAGAGCACTCCAAAGAGGCACTGCAGAGCGACGGTGCACTTTTGGCACCTCTCCCTGCTGACCTTGCCAAAAGTGAACCGCCGCTGCAGACTCCATCATATCCCCTCTCCCTTTCCCCGAACCGAACCTACCGTTTCAGAACACGAAGAATTGCGAAGGAACAAAAAGGTCAATTGGCCACACCAAAACATCAGCCGTGTCCGCTACTCCCCCACTCCTCCCCTCCCTCCTCTCCTGCTCCACCTCCAGCTGCCTCCTTGCCTCCGCTGCAGCCTCTCTTGCCCTCACAGCCTCCCTCTCCCTCACTCTCTCCCTCCCTCTCGCCACCCTCACTTCCTCTCTCAGACCCTCCACAGCTAGACTCAACTCAGCAACTGTAGAGCTCTTTGCTTCTCGGAACGCCCGTGCTTCTTCTGCCCGGATTCGGCTTTCTCTTGCTGCCACCACGACTCGAGTACTGAGCTGCTGTGTCGTCTCTTTGGATTGATGTAACTGCCGGTTCATCTCCCGTTGCAACTCCTGGAGTGCTGCTGCCGTGTCTTCTGCCCGTTCCTCTGCCCGTTCTGCGTCATATTTTGCAGCCCTGGCCTCTCCTTGGGCAGCCGAAAGTTCCTGCTGTACCTGCCCGAGATCCTCCTCAAGCCACGCAACGGTTCGTTCAAGCTGCCCGCATTGATCTAGGGCAGTCCAAAGATCCTGGCGCAGAGCCTCAGCTTCGGAAGCCAGCCGAGCCTGCTCAGCTTCGGCAGCAAACAACTTCTTCCGAACCTCCTCCACAGCTCCAGCAGCAGCCTCAGCTCCCGAAACCGCCGCCGAGGCTCGGCCCTTCCCAGCCGCTCCAGCAGCCTCGGCCCGAAGCAACTCGTCGGTTCGGGACCAAAGCTGACTCACCTCCTTGTCTTGCTTGACCAGCGTTGTCTGCAAGTGCCGGATGAGGATCTTGAGCCGTTGATTCTCCCTGTGCGTGCGATCTAGGCCGTCCAGCAGCCAGGTTGTTCTGTCCTCCTCAGGAATGTATGCAAACTTCTGGCGCCATGTCATTGGCTCTGCGCTTCCCTTGCTGCTACCCCGCCCAACTGATCCCTCCCCAGCATCAGCAGCAGCAGCACCAGCGGCACTGCCACCAGTACTGATAGCAGCAGCAGCAGCAGAACCACCAGCAGCAGCAGCAGGAACACTGCTAGCAGAAAAGCCTGTAACAGCGCCCGCACCACCATTGCCACCACTGCTCATACTCATCGTCCTCTCTAAAAGCAGATCCACATCAACACCACTGCGCAGCGCCGCCATCCCCTCCACCCCTTCCAACTGCACCATCAGCTCCAACACCCTCTCCTCCGCTGCTCTCTGCCTCTCCTCCGCCTCCCTCACTGCTGTTTCCACCTGAGATTTCACCTGAGCTTTCTCCTGGTCCACCTGAGACTGCAGCCTGGCGAGCTGATCCTCTGCTACAGCCAGATCCGCCTGAAGCCTGCCGGCCTTCTTGTCTGCTACAGCCAACTTCATCTGTAGCTCCGCTGCTCTCTCCTCCGCCCCATTCTTTTCCCTACTCACTCTCTCCAGCTCTTCCAGTGCAGCTTGCAGCGTGTCACTTCCACCCTCCACTCTTCCCCCTACTCCTACTCCTCCTCCTCCCCCTACCCCTGCTCCTCTTCCTCCTCCTCCATCTCCTGTTCGGGCAGCATCAAAAGATCTCTGCAGCCTCTCGTTCTCTGCTTTCAGCCGGACTATTTCTTCCCGGGCAGCATTCAGACTCCCATCCAGCTGCCTCAGCAGAACAGTTTCGTTTCCCCTCCCCTGCCAACCCACCCCTCCTCCTCCACCCGCCCCTCCTCCTCCACCATCATCCTCTCCTCCACTCTCCCCTGCTCCCCTTTCACTTCCCCTTTCTCCTCCTCTCTTCCCCCCACGCCTGTCTTCCTTTCCTGTACCCCCTGCTGCACGATCGGTTTCACTGCTTCTCACAAAATCCAGTTCTTTCCTAAGCTTGCTATTTTCCTCCCTTAAGCGACCGCTCTCAGCTAAAAGTGCCTTCATTCTTTCACGCTGCCCTTGCCCGTCCTCCAGCACCTGCCCGAGCTCTTCCTGGGCAGCCGCCAAAACCCTTTGCGCCTGCTCATTCTCACCTTTCAGCTGCCCGACCTCCTCCGTTAGCCTCTCATTCTCCTCCCGAACCTCATCAGCCTCGGCCCGAGCCTTTGCAGCTGTGGTCAGGGACTTCCAAGCTTGTCATTTTCTTCCATATACTCCCCGACCCGCGTCTGCTCATCAATCAAACTCTCTTTCAAAATTTCCAACTCTGCCCGAAGTTCCCTCGCCTCTTCACTCGCCTCTTTTAACCCCTCTTCCAACTCCCTCCCCTTCTCCTGCGAACCCGCCAGCTCAGCCCGAACCACCGCCAGCTCAGACCGGGCAGTTCGAAGTTCTTCCTGAGCTGTCCGAAGCTCTGTCTGCAGCTGCTTTATCTGCCCGTTGGCTTTGGACAGCTGTTCTTGTGCCTGTGCCTGCTCCAACTGTCTCTGTGTCTGCTCTAACTGCTCCTGTGCCTGTGACAACTGAAGCTGAATCTGCCCCTTGCTCTCTTCCACCCGTGCCACGTCATCCCAAGCACTCTTCAACGATCGGCGTAGCTCGGCGTTTTCTTCCCGCATCGCAGAAGCTTCCTCCTGAGAAGCCTGCAGCAGCGACTGTAGATCGAGCAACGCCGAAATCAACTGCTGCTGCTCTGCTCCGAATTCTCGTTCTCTTTCTCCTGCCCCTGCTCCTGCCCCTGCTCCTGCCCCTGTCCCTGTCCCTGCTCCTGCTCCTGCTCCTGCCCCTGGTTTTCCAGCAGCATTAGCTGAAGCGGATTCAGAAGCAGCACCAGAAAGACGGCCGGGTAAACTCGCTCTCCTTCCATCGCCTCCTCCTGTATCTCCGAACCCCTCTGTACCCCTTACAAGCGTGAAAGAACTCCTTCCCGAAAGTGTGCTGCTGGTTTCGAAGTTATCCCACGGGGACGCCTCTGATTGGCCTTCTTCCAGATCCTTCCATTTCACCTGCCTCTTAGGCTTCTCTGTTAAACGAACTGGACTGCCGAACCTAGCGTCAGGTTCGGCAACCCCCGCGGAACTTGCAGGTTCGGGTGGAGGGTGCGAAGGCTGTGCAGCACTAGGGGAGTATTTCTCCCTTAGCCGCTGAAGAATATCGTCCATGTCCATGTTATCCCCGTTATTGTCCATGACGATAAAGTTCAGGAAAAAAACTTCTGTAATGAGAATAAGAACCCCCGACGAGTGACGCTTGCGAGCAATGTAGCGTAGAGGACCGAGAAGATTGGACGACGCACTGATGACACTAAGAACAGGTGACGCTAAGACCGATGCTAAGAACAAGGTGACACTAAGACTGATGCTAAGAACAAGGTGACGCTAAGACCGATGCTAAGAACAAGGTGACGCTAAGACCAAGCGAAACTAAGAACATAAAAGTCCATGATGAAAGAATCGCCGTTGCACTTGTTGAGCACTAATTCGGCAGAATCAGGAGAGCAGCATATCCTCGAGTTTACCATTTGGGAAACAGCAGTGAGTTACAAACACGGTACAACACTTTCGACTGGACCAACAATGTCGACATTCGAGTCGCCTTGCAATAATCGTGGTAATACCCGCTCTCACACGAATCGTAGTCGTTCTGTGGGGACCCTGCTTCCTAGACTAATTGCTTTGACGAGTCACACGAATCATAGGCGTTCTATTGTGAGTGAGAATGACGGCATCCAAAGGCTTGGTAGAAACATACTCGCTAAACGTATCTGATGAGGTTATACGGTACCCTTATTATGTAGTGTTTTCAACCATCTAATCATTGACTCATTCCTTTAATAGTACATTATGTAAATACTATATGGGATTCTTCCGCAAAATTTTTTGATATTTATCCTCATATGCTGAAACTCTGTTCTCGTTTTATTTTATCAAAACTGGGGTGCTCTGCTGCCTTCCCTCCTCGTAGTCACCTACCGAATTTCGCAACAGGTGTACATTGAGCAGGGTAGTGCCACGACGTTCAATAATCTTGCAACGAAGATGTAATCACCACGTATTCGCCCTACATCGCTAGCTCATGTCCTCTTCTGTTTATACGTATGTAAACCCCGACGGGGTTATACGGTAGTAACAGGATTAGCCCTCGGTTTGAGCACAACGCGGAAGAACTCGAGCTGCGACTAGGAATCCAGAATTGCAACGGCCGAAGGCGAGAGATGGGTGTAACGAAGAGAATTCCGGCTAAGAAGGGCGACCTTTCCAAGCGCGGGGTTACCAAGGGCGGTCTTACGAAGGACGGCGTTACGAAACGAGGCGTTAGCAGCAGTGACGAGGAGGATGAGAAGGACGTTGGGCTAGACGCGTCGATCCAGGCGCTGCTGCAGAAACGCCTGGAAGAACGAGGTACATTTGGTTCATCTTGTGGCCGGTTGCATTTCTGGTTCGGTTCAAGAGTCGAATGGGAATGGCCGTTAAAGAGGGCGCTTTAGGAAGGTATGCCGGAATTCAAGGGAGAACAAGCGTAGCTAAAGAACGGGATGATCCAGGCGTTGCCGCACGGGTTGTCCGTTCTTGAGTCGACTAAGAAATCAACTCCCCATTGATCCATTCAGTGCCAGTTATCCTGAAAACGCTCTCCAAGGGTACCAGTACCGAGGCGAGTACTATCGCCAGCCGCACGAATTCGACAGTCAAACGTGCTGAAGCAATCCCAGTGACACAAGGGTTCAGGGTTTTACCTGGGAGGTTTAGGTGTCTCTATGCTGTTTCCTTGTGTCAGTGCATCGTCTTAGACTGTTGTGGTACTGATGGAGTAAATGCAACTGAAAGTGTAACCGTAAAATTGTACTCTGCAGGCGAGATGTTCATGAGCATGTTTCAAGACGATGAGCGTGGCGAGTCAGCCAATGGGTCACTCCAGCCGGCTGCCATGTCAGCAAATACAGCAGGTCAGGTACGTCTGAAAAACCGTCTTTCCCTTTTCTTCCCTCTATCCTCCCCGCCTTGCTTTCTGGCTTTCTTCTTCCTCTTCTGCTATCAATTTTGGTCATTCTCCCTCCCCCGATCCCGCCTCATGCGCCCCCCATCCTAGCCTCATCCGCCTCCCATCATGCCCCCGTCTTCCCCCCATGCTCCCCACATCCTGTCCCCATTCCCCAACCATCCTCCCCCGATCCACCTCTCCCCACCACTCGTTCTGCAGCAGACTAGCCGCGCAGCCTCGCAAGCAGCAGCTGCACGGGCCGTTGATCGAAACCGATCCAACGGCTCCACAGCAGCGGCAGAAGCACAACCAAGCACCGACACAGGTGCACCCAAAGTCTCTGCTGCCACCCATACACTCTCCCTATTCCAAGGCTCTGGGTTCTGGGGTGTGAGGGTGCAGCAGAAACAATACTCGGTTGGTCGGGTTTAGAGGTCTCAACCTGCCTTTTGCCTGTCTCCCTGCCTCTCTGTCTGTCTTCCACGTTGCTCGCCTCTCCAGCCTGTCTTTTGCAACTCACATCAGGCGGCAAGGGCAAGCGGTTAGCTGATCGTGTGAAGGTAGAACAGAAGGAAAGAAGGTCCGTGGGGGTGAATGGGAGTGTGTTGAGGAGTGGGAGTAGAGATGTAAAGGAGGAGCAACAAGAGGAGGAGGGGGATGAGGGAGAGGAAGAGGGGGATGAGGAGGAGGAGGAGGAAGAGGAGGGGGAGGAGGAGGAAGAGGAGGGGGAGGAGGGGGAGGAGGGGGAAGAGGACGATGAGGACGAAGAGGAAGAGGAGGAATTAGAGGAGGAGGGTGAGCATGAGAGTGGTCCGGAAGTTGTAGTGTTTCAGGAGGGGAGCAACCTCAAGAAGCAAGCAACACGTGTCAAGCTGCTATTGGGCGGCCAAATCAGCAGCAGGAAGGAGAGGAAGCTCTTTCTGGTGAGCTGAGGATGGAGAACGGTGCTGTGCGGTGGGATGAGGTGCGGTGGGATGAGGTGCTGTGGGATGAGGTGGAGTGCGGTGTGGTGCGGTTCGTTGTGGTAGGGTGTAGTGCGGTGTGCTATGGTGACGCTGCACATCAGAAGAAGCATAGCCAAGAATCCCAACGCAATGCAAGAGGAGTCGGAGGGATGTCAGTAGGGCATACTCTCGTTCTTCTCCCCTTGCGCCCACTCTTCCCTTTCTCTTCACACCCTCACTGCTTCCTCCCTGCTCGTCCTTCTCCTGAAATGCTTTCCCCCCAGTCATCCAAGGTTGCCAACATTTTCAGGGTATCCCAACGCGCCAGTGGAGGAACTGGAGGGGAGGCGGAGGAGTAGGGAAGGCATAGGAGCAGAATCTCTCGTCTCCTCCTCTTACTGCTCTGCTTCCTCCCACCTGTGTGCGCTTGCCCCCCCTCCCCAGTCGTCCAAGGTGGCCAATATTTTCAGGGATCCCAACACACCGGTGGAGGAACAGGAGGGGAGGCGGAAAAGGGGGAGGGAAGGGGAAAGGGCGTGACATATTCTGTTTTTTTCTCCTCTTACTGCTCCGCTTCCTCTCACCTGTGCGCTTGCCCCCTTCTCCAGTCATCCAAGGTGGCCAATATATTCAGGGATCCCAACGCGCCAGTTGAGGAACCAGAGGGGAGGCGAAGGAGGGGGCGAGGGGTGAAGAAAGAGGAGGAGGACTTGGAGGAGAAGGAGGCGCGGCTGCACATGCAGGAGTACATTGCGATTGCGAGGGAGACAGAGCGGTTGGGCGTGTCTACGATGGAGTGGAACCAGCGCAAGCAGTGGGAGACCAACCACATCGTGCGACACTTGGGTGTGAAGGTGAGTAAAGAGCGCGCGTGCGTTCATGCATGCGTGCTGGGAAGAGGCTGTGAGTTGGCTCCCACAACCTCCCTGACAGCAGGGGAACCAGCGCAAGCAGTGGGAGACCAACCACATCGTGCGACACTTGGGTGTGAAGGTGAGTGTGTGTGTGTAGGGCAATGCTGTGTGTGTGCTTAAGGGGGTGGAGATGAGTTGGCTCTTATAACATTTCTGACAGCAGGGGCACCAGCGCAAGCAGTGGGAGACCAACCACATTGTGCGACACCTGGGCGTGAAGGTGAGTGTCGTATGTGTGGTTGTGCTGTTTGTGTGTGCTGAAAGGGGTGGCGGTAAGTCGGCTCTAAAGACATCCCTGACAGCAGGGGCACCAGCGCAAGCAGTGGGAGACGAACCACATCGTGCGGGACCTGGGGCGAAGGTGAGCATTTATGTGTATGTGTGGTTGTGCTGTTTGTGTGTGCTGAAAGGGGTGGGGGTAAGTCGGCTCTAAAGTCCCTTAGAGCAGGGGCAAGCAGTGGGAGACCAACCACATCGTGCGGCACTTGGGGGCGGGGATGGGGTGGTGGTATGGGGAAGATGGTGCATGGCTTCACAGGCTGTGTGTGTGGGTGAGCTTGAGGGATCTTCGTGTCATCGATGGTGTGGAACCAGCGCAAGCTATGGGAGACGAACTGCATCGTTCGACACCTTGGCATCAAGGTGAGTGTGTGTGTGCATGGGTGTACAGCGGTTGAGCTGGGTAAGCGTTTTATGAGTTAGTAAGCTTGAAGGAGTTTTGTGACGGCAGGGATTATAGAAACCAGCGCAAGCGCATGAGCATAAATATAGCAGCTACAGAGAAACCATTTCCCCCTGTTCTTCTCACTCTTTCCCCTTCCTCACTACCCCCTTCCCCCCCACAGCCGCCCAATTGCATGAGCATGAGCATAGCAGCTACAGAGGGACCATTCCCCCTTTTTCTTCTCACTCTTTCCCCTGGGTGTGGGTATGGCTCCGTTCATGTGCGCGTATATGTGGTGTACGTGCGTGTGTGAGCGCATGCGTGTGTTACTGGTGAGAATTCTCAAAAGCACATGTTGTTGTGCCGGAAGGTAGCAGCTACAGAAGGGTCGTAGCTCTGCTCCGCGTGGCTTCTCACTCGTCCTCTTCCTTTCCAATGGTGCCGCTCTCTCCTCTTCTTTTCCCCCATCTTCCTGCCCCTGTTTGCGTCACAGCCGGCAATGGCCTGATCTTCCACGTGTTTCTCGCTCTTTCCCCCTATTTTCCCCCTCGCTCCCCCCCGCCCCCTCCCCCTGCACAGCCACCCAAGCGCATGAGTATGAACATAGCAGTCAAGGAGGGGCCTTTCCTCACCTTGCTTTTCTCTCCTACCTCCTTCTGCCCACTCCCCCCTGCTCCTCCCCCGTCGAAGCCCCCGAGCGCATGAGCATGAACATAGCGGCCACAGAGGGGTCTGGTTTCTCCATGCGGCTCACTCTTTTCCTCTCACTCTCCTCCCTCTCTCCCCTCTGCCCACCCTGCTTTCCCTTGTGCTATCAGCCGCCCAAGCGCATGAGCATGAATATAGCAGCCACGGAGGGGTTTGATCTCCCGTTGCTTCTCACTCTTTCTCCTCCTCCTCTCTCGCTCCCCAATGCCCTCCTCTTGCAATCAGCCGCCCAAGCGCATGAGCATGAATTTAGCAGCCACAGAGGGGTATCGATCGGTACAGAGGAAGAAGCGCCTGAGGGAACTGGAAGAGGTGAGTTGGTGGGAGGGATGGTGGGTTGATGGGGAAGGTCAAAAGGGATGAGTCGATGGAAGGAAGGGCGGGGAGCAAGAGTTGATGGGGAGGGCGCAAAGAAGGTTAGTTTAGAAACGTTTTCAGGCACTTATACGTGAAAGAAGTTATTTGGGACGTCTACAAGTTCTCTTCTCTCACGTGGTCACCTGTACCTTAAGCATCCGACATTTTTATTCAAGTTCTGAGATAGGTCAAACCAAATACCTTCACGGTGTACTCGTGTACCTTCAACCCTATCTGGTTGAGATTTCTCCGTAATCCAACAAATCTGTCAATTCACCATTGGAGATTTGCTTGAAATCCCAACCCATCCATTCTCCTAGCCTTATCCAACCCAACTTTGTTTGTACTTAAAGGCCAGTGCCTTCTGTTCTAATCAATCAGTTCAAGCTCCATATCTATCATGGTATCGAGCTGGTAGATTCCGCTCACGCGGAATCAGATCCTTGTCGTCCCGATGGTTCTCTTCCTCTCAGCTATAACTCTTTCGGCTTCCGGCTTCTTCGCTTAGCCTTTCCAGACTTCTCATCTTCGCGCTGGTCAAGAGCGCATTCTTTGCGTCGTCGCGCATTTCCGATTTCAACGTCGATAGCTGAAGAGGTGGAAGCGGTGGCTGAAGAGGTGGAAGCGGTGGCTGAAGAGGTGGAAGCGGTGGCTGAAGAGGTGGAAGGGGTGGCTGAAGTGGTGGAAGCGGTGGCTGAAGAGGTGGAAGTGGTGGCTGAATAGGTGGAAGCGGTGGCTGAAGAGGTGGAAGGGGTGGCTGAAGATGTGGAAGCGGTGGCTGAAGAGGTGGAAGGGGTGGCTGAAGAGGTGGAAAGGGTGGCTGAATAAGTGGAAGCGGTGGCTGATGAGGTGGAAGCGATGGTTATTTTTTCCTCTTCCACCTATTCAGCCACCACTTCCACCTCTTCAGCCACCACTTCCACCTCTTCAGCCACCACTTCCTCCTCGTCAGCCATCACTTCCACCTCTTCAGCTTCGTTGTTCGTTGTCCGTCTTTACGGTTTTGGGGCTTTAAGGCTTAGTGCCTTCTATTTTAATCAATTAATTCAAGCTCCATTTTTATCACATTTGTCAGTCAGTTGTGCCATGCAAAGGCTGCAACAATTTGCAGCAACACCCTTGTTCCCGTAGCCGCTCCACTTTCCCTTGCTTTCTCACCCTACCCACGCTCGCCTAGCTCGGCACGAACCTTCCAGAAATTAATTAGAATTGAAGGAAGCGAGCGAATCCTCGTGACAAGAAGAGCAAGCACAAGAGGCTGGGACAAGGCACTCTAGCCAGGTTGCTGGCAGAGGAGGAAGAGGCCAAAGAAGGCACGAACCACCTTGTAGCACCACCCTTCTTTCTCTAACCCTCCTGCTTCCCTTGCTGCTCTCCCTTGCATTTCCGTCACGACCCTTCCAGGAAGTTGCCTCTGGAATGATCCACGTGAAGGGAGGCAACCCGCGAGACAAGAAGAGCAAGCACACGAGGCTGGGGCAGGGCACCCTCGCCCGGCCATCTGTGAACCACCTCCCAGCCGGAACCATTGCCTATCAGGGGCGACTTAAAAGCAATCATCCTGTTTTTTCTTGCTTCCTTCGCTACTCACTCGTGTTTCCCCTTGCAATCCTTCCAGGAAGTTGCATCTGGCATGATCCAAGTGAAGGGAGGCAACCCTCGAGACAAGAAGAGCAAGCACAGGAGGCTGGGGCAGGGCACCCTCGCCCGGCCGGTTTTGAACCGCCCCGTTTTTCCTTGACCCTCATGCGTTCCCTTGCTTGCTTCTGCTTTTCCCCTCACGACTCTTCCAGGAAGTTGCATCTGGGATGATCCAAGTGAAGGGAGGCAACCCGCGAGACAAGAAGAGCAAGCACAGGCGGCTGGGCCAGGGCACTCTAGCCCGGCTGCTAGCAGAAGAGGAAGAGCGTTGATCATCTCAGTGCTGAGTCGAGTCAAAGGTTATTTAAAGCCCCTCCCTCCTTCCCCCGACCCTCGCTCTTTGCTCCACCCTTCCTTGCCTTGATATACATTATGCTTCCAGGAAGTTGCGTCTGGTATGATCCAAGTGAAGGGAGCGAACTCACGAGACAAGAAGAGCAAGCACAGGCGGCTGGGGCAGGGCACCCTCGCCTGTCTGCTAGCAGAGGAGGAAGAGGCCAAAGAAGGCCGCCCGAGAACCCCACCTCACAGCACCACCCTCCTTTCCCCTAAACCTCCTGCTTTCCCTTGCTTCCTTCGCTACTCTCCCTTGCGTTCCCCGTCATACCCCTTCCAGGAAGTTGCGTCTGGAATGATCCAAGTGAAGGGAGCGAACTCACGAGACAAGAAGAGCAAGCACAGGCGGCTGGGGCAGGGCACCCTCGCCCGTCTGCTAGCAGAGGAGGAAGAGGCCAAAGAAGGCCGCCCGAGAACCCCACCTCACAGCACCACCCTCCTTTCCCCTAAACCTCCTGCTTTCCCTTGCTTCCTTCGCTACTCTCCCTTGCGTTCCCCGTCATACCCCTTCCAGGAAGTTGCGTCTGGAATGATCCAAGTGAAGGGAGGGAACCCGCGAGACAAGAAGAGCAAGCACAGGCGGCTGGGGCAGGGCACCCTCGCCAGGCTCCTAGCAGAGGAGGAAGAGGCCAAAGAAGGCCGCCCGAGAAAGGCGCGAGTGGATTGGCGGGTGGAGGAGCGAGGGCTTAAAGCCTCGGATGGGGATTACCAAGGCGGCGTGTTGCATGTTGATCCGCGGAAGTGGAAGATTGGAGGGGACGGGGGAGGAAGGAAGGGCGGAGGGGTGATTGGGGATAAGGATTTGGGGGGGTTTGGGGGAGAAGGGAGGAGGAGAGGGGGAGGGGCAGAGGGGAAGGGGAAAAAGAGGGCTTCGGGAGGGAAAGGGAGAGGGAAGGGGAGAAAGTCAAGAGGAGGAAGGAGATAGGTCAAGCGAGGGCTTAAAGCCTCGGACGGGGATTACCAAGGCGGCGTGTTGCATGTTGATCCGAGGAAGTGGAGGATTGGAGGGGACGGGGGCGGAAGGAAGGAAGGAGGGGTGATTGGGGATAGGGATTTGGGGGGGTTTGGGGGAGGAGGGAGGAGGAGGGGGGGAGGGGGAGGGGGGAAGGGGAAAAAGAGGGGTTCGGGAGGGAAAGGGAGAGGGAAGGGGAAGAGGTCAAGGGGAAGAAGATAGTACACGCAAGGCAAGGTGTGAACTGCTTGGCGCGTGTTGACTGGCGGGTGGAGGAGCGAGGGCTTAAAGCCTCGGATGGGGATTATCAAGGCGGGGTGTTGCATGTTGATCCGAGGAAGTGGAAGATTGGAGGGGACGGGGGAGGAAGGGCGGAGGAGTGATTGGGGATAAGGATTTGGGGGGGTTTGGTGGGGGAAGGAGGAGGAGGGGGGAGAGGCGGCGGGAGGAAGGGGAAGAGGAAGGGATCAGGAGGGAAAGGGAGAGGGAAGGGAAAGAGGTCGAGAGGAAGGAAATACCGCTGGCCAGGTTACCCACAATGCTGCTGGTCCAGTCGGTGCAATGCAAAACAAGTTGACCGTGCCAGCCAGGGCACAAACTGTACAACACCCTACACTGTTCTATTAAAAGAATGATGATGATGATGATGAGAACCACTGCATGCTCTTGTCATGTCATCTTTGTAATACCGTAATGACAGTGCCATCCAACCCCTGTGCAGCCATGGCTCCGTATCATCATCAATCACCATTTACGGTATATGTTGGAGGCACAGCATAGCGACCGTACCAGTGGATTCATATGCTGTGCATTGGATACGAGATTACATACGTCCACCACCTAGTGTATCAGATGCTATAGTTTTCACGTCCAGCCACCCCAGATAAAGCCGCCCCAGATTGAGCCACCCCAGATTGAGCCGCCCTAGATTGAGCCGCCCTAGATTGAGCCGCCCTAGATTGAGCCGAACCTCCAGGGTTTAACTGCCTCCATGCACCTACCCTGCCTTGGCCAGGCCATCTATAGCCTCCTTCTCTTCTGCCTCCAGGAGAAGGTGGAGGTAGAATTCTGGGCTGCCCGAGATTCAGCTGTGTAAGTTGCAGCTGCCCGAGCTAGCTCCATGCACCTACCCTGCCTTGGCCAGGCCATCTATCGCCTCCTTCTCTTCTGCCTCCAGGAGAAGGTGGAGGTAGAATTCTGGGCTGCCCGAGATTCAGCTGTGTAAGTTGCAGCTGCCCGAGCTAGCCCCATGCACCTACCCTGCCTTGGCCAGGCCATCTATCGCCTCCTTCTCTGCTGCTGCCTCCAGCGCCTCTATGAATGTTTCCAGGCCCTCCCCTTGCAACACCTGGGGGGTTAAAGAGTAGAGGGAGGGGATGGAATGACAGAAAGGAGGGAGGGTAGGGGAGGGAAGGGGACACTCCTTCTCTGCTGCAGCCTCCAGCGCCTCTATGAATGTTTCCAGGCCCTCCCCTTGCAACACCTGGGGGGTTAAAGAGTAGAGGGAGGGGATGGAATGACAGAAAGGAGGGAGGGTAGGGGAGGGAAGGGGACACTCCTTCTCTGCTGCAGCCTCCAGCGCCTCTATGAATGTTTCCAGGCCCTCCCCTTGCAACACCTGGGGGGTTAAAGAGTAGAGGGAGGGGATGGAATGACAGAAAGGAGGGAGGGTAGGGGAGGGAAGGGGACACTCCTTCTCTGCTGCAGCCTCCAGCGCCTCTATGAATGTTTCCAGGCCCTCGCCTTGCAACACCTGGGGGGTTAAATAGTAGAGGGAGGGGATGGAATGACAGAAAGGAGGGAGGGTAGGGGAGGGAAGGGGACACTCCTTCTCTGCTGCAGCCTCCAGCGCCTCTATGAATGTTTCCAGGCCCTCCCCTTGCAACACCTGGGGGGTTAAAGAGTAGAGGGAGGGGATGGAATGACAGAAAGGAGGGAGGGTAGGGGAGGGAAGGGGACACTCCTTCTCTGCTGCAGCCTCCAGCGCCTCTATGAATGTTTCCAGGCCCTCGCCTTGCAACACCTGGGGATTGCAGAGAGTAGAGCAGAGGGAGGAGGAGCAGAAGCAAGGGAGGGGAATGAGAGATTAGGTTAATCTCTCTGCTGCAGCCTCCAGTGCCTCTATGAATGTTTCCAGGCCCTCCCCTTGCAACACCTGTCAGAGAGGCATGTAAGGGAGGGAGGGGAGGGGAGGGAGGGAGGGTGGGAGGCAAGGGCATGGGCACAGGCATGGGCATGAACGTGGGCACGGGCATGGGCATGGGCATAGGCATGGGCATGGGCATGGGCATGGGCATGGGCATGGGCATAGGCATGGGCATGGGCATAGGCATGGGCATGGGCATAGGCATGGGCATGGGCATAGGCATGGGCATGGGCATGGGCATGGGCATGGGCATGGGCATGGGCATGGGCATGGGCATGGGCATGGGCATGGGCATGGGCATGGGCATGGGCATGGGCATAAGCGTAAGAACAAAGTACCCACCTGTGGCAGCGAGTGCAGCGTGAGTCCCACGCGGTGGTCCGTGATTCGGCCCTGTGGGAAGTTGTACGTGCGGATTCGTTCCGAGCGATCGCCGGAACCGATCTGGAAAACAATAACGGGGGGATGGGAGGGAGGGAGGATGGGAGGGAGGGAGGATGGGAGGGAGGGAGGATGGGAGGGAGGGAGGATGGGAGGGAGGGAGGATGGGAGGGAGTTAGGATGGGATGGGAGGGAGGGAGGATGGGAGGGAGGGAGGATAGGATGGGAGGGAGGGAGGACGGGAGGGCAGCAATAAGGAGCACGAAGTACTCTGGTGGTGAGTGCAGGATGTAACCCAAGCCCAGACTTGATGACTCACCTCACCAGAACAAATCTGGGGCCAGAATAGGATATATGCTCGTCGCCCCCAGCCCCTCACCTGCCCACGCCTCACCTGCCCACGCCTCACCTGCCCACGCCTCACCTGCCCACGCCTCACCTGCCCACGCCTCACCTGCCCACGCCTCACCTGCCCACGCCTCACCTGCCCACGCCTCACCTGCCCACGCCTCACCTGCCCACGCCTCACCTGCCCACGCCTCACCTGCCCACGCCTCACCTGCCCACGCCTCACCTGCCCACGCCTCACCTGCCCACGCCTCACCTGCCCACGCCTCACCTGCCCACGCCTCACCTGCCCACGCCTCACCTGCCCACGCCTCACCTGCCCACGCCTCACCTGCCCACGCCTCACCTGCCCACGCCTCACCTGCCCACGCCTCACCTGCCCACGCCTCACCTGCCCACGCCTCACCTGCCCACGCCTCACCTGCCCACGCCTCACCTGCCCACGCCTCACCTGCCCATGTCTCAGCTGTGACCGAGACGCCTCTGCTTCCTTCCTCTGCAGGTCAAACAGCCGTGCTCTGAGAACCTTGAGGGCCTTGGCCTTGTTCTGTGACGAGAGTGGCAGATAAGTGGCAGGGAAGAAGCAGTGAGAAGGAGTGGGAGAAAGGGAAAGACGAGTGGGGTTGGGGAGAGAGATGAAGGCAAAAGGAAGGAGAGATGACTGAGAGATGGAAGAGAGATGAGGGAGAGATCAAATGACCTTAAGAGCTTTAATGGCTTGGGGGGAGGTTGGGGACCCGGAACAACACAGATGTGTGTGGGCGAGGGCATGTGGGAGCGAGAGCGTGTGAGGGCGATAAAGTGTGGGGGAGAGGGACGGCAACTGCACCTACTCTGCTACCCTGCTGTCCTCCCTTCCCTCCTCTCCGCACCTCACTTCTCCTGCCTATCTCCCCACCTGCTGCTACCATCCTCGATAGTCTCTTGACCTCCTAGCATCTTCCTCACCATGTGTTAAAAGCGTTCATCTTGTATCGCCACAACCAGCCCAGAGGGCAAGTGGGTGATGCGCACGGCACTGTTGGTCGTGTTCACCGACTGCCTCTAACTCTTTTACCCTCTACTCTCTAACCTGCTGTTACCATCCCCATCTGCTGCTACCTCAGCCTACCATGTGTTGAGACCGCTCGTCCTGAATCGCCACCACCAGCCCGGACGGCACGTGGGTGACACGCACGGCACTGTTGGTCGTGTTCACCGACTGCCCTCCACACCCTCCACTGCGATACGTGTCGATACGCAGGTCCTCCTGGCGGATTAGCACGTCCACCTGCACAGTGAAACCCGCATGCATGCATGCATGCATGCATGCATGGATGATGCATGGATGCACGAACAGATACAACCGGGTTAGTAATTCCTCAAGCATGGTTTACCGACTGCCCTCCACACCTCCCTCTGCGATACGTGTCGATATGCAGATCCTGCACTGAACCGTTCTGTACCGCTCTGCACCACTCACCTCGTCTGCTTGGGGCAACACCGCTACTGTAGCAGCACTCGTGTGCACCCTGCCTGCCTTCTCAGTAGCTGGAACCCTCTGCACCCTGTGCACGCCACTCTCCCACTTAACACTCCCCACCCGCGCTGCACTGCACCGCTCTGCACCCCCCTGCACCGCTCACCTCATCTGCTTGGGGCAGCACAGCCACAGTAGCAGCACTCGTATGCACCCTGCCTGCCTTCTCAGTGGTCGGTACCCTCTGCACCCTGTGCACGCCACTCTCCCACTTGAGCCACCCAAACACGCCCACCTGCTCTGCACTGCACCGTTCTGTACCCCTCTCCACCACTCACCTCATCAGCTTGGGGCAACACCGCTACGGTAGCAGCACTCGTGTGCACTCTCCCCGATTTCTCAGTGGTCGGTACCCTCTGCACCCTGTGCACGCCACTCTCCCACTTGAGCCTCCCAAACACGCCCTCCCCTGACACGCTCGCGCTCGCTTCCTGTGGGATGATAGAAAGGAATGCAGAATGGAGGAGGAAGGGAGAGGTCAGGTCCAGGAGCGAAAGGGTAAAGATGAGAGCTGGAAGAATGTGAAAAAGTATGCGATTTTTGGGAACTCTGAAGAATCACTTACACGCACCTCCTACCACACCAACCCTCACCTTGTATCCGCCCTTTTCAATCTCGGTGACGTCCAGAACTTCAAACTGCCACCCCCGTTTAGCACAGAAGCGCTGGTACCTGCCATGACAACCGTGCCACAAAGCCTCACACCATATTGCACCCTTCCACACCAAATTGCACCCACAAGCATCCATCACAACCCATCCCAACAGTCCCATCCCATCACATTCACATTCACATTCGCATTCACATTCACATTCGCATTCGCATTCGCATTCACATTCACATTCGCATTCGCATTCGCATTCACATTCGCATTCGCATTCACATTCGCATTCGCATTCACATTCGCATTCACATTCGCATTCACATTCACAATCACATTCGCATTCAGACCTGATACAGCAGATCAAAACAGTTAGTACCAACACAGGCTTTGTCGGCTCTAAAGCTGTTAAGGTTTGAAGAGTTGGGACGACGTCCTACCCCCCAACCAACGTTCACCATCATTTTCCTCATCTCAGCGCATACCATCCATATCAAAGCATATCGACCTCATAATGATCCAGCGACCAGCTCACTTACATTTGGAACATGTCAGCACATGCCATCATGATCAAATCAAATCATACTCATGATCCAGCGACCAGCTCACTAACATTTGAAACACGTCAGCAGCAAAGAGGGCTGCCTCGTCCCCACCTGTGCCTGCACACACACATGGGTTGAGTGGCGATGAATGGGAGGGAGAGGGGGAGAGAGGGGGAGAGATAAGGGGAGAGATGCTGTGAACTCATCAGCAGCAAAGAGAGGTGCCTCGTCGCCACCCGTGCCTGCACAAACACACTGGTTGAGTGGCGATGAATGGGAGGGAGAGGGGGAGAGAGGGGGAGAGATAAGGGGAGAGATGCTGTGAACTCATCAGCAGCAAAGAGAGGTGCCTCGTCGCCACCCGTGCCTGCACAAACACACTGGTTGAGTGGCGATGAATGGGAGGGAGAGGGGGAGAGAGGGGGAGAGATAAGGGGAGAGATGCTGTGAACTCATCAGCAGCAAAGAGAGGTGCCTCGTCGCCACCCGTGCCTGCACAAACACACTGGTTGAGTGGCGATGAATGGGAGGGAGAGGGGGAGAGAGGGGGAGAGATAAGGGGAGAGATGCTGTGAACTCATCAGCAGCAAAGAGAGGTGCCTCGTCGCCACCCGTGCCTGCACAAACACACTGGTTGAGTGGCGATGAATGGGAGGGAGAGGGGGAGAGAGGGGGAGAGATAAGGGGAGAGATGCTGTGAACTCATCAGCAGCAAAGAGAGGTGCCTCGTCGCCACCCGTGCCTGCACAAACACACTGGTTGAGTGGCGATGAATGGGAGGGAGAGGGGGAGAGAGGGGGAGAGATAAGGGGAGAGATGCTGTGAACTCATCAGCAGCAAAGAGAGGTGCCTCGTCGCCACCCGTGCCTGCACAAACACACTGGTTGAGTGGCGATGAATGGGAGGGAGAGGGGGAGAGAGGGGGAGAGATAAGGGGAGAGATGCTGTGAACTCATCAGCAGCAAAGAGAGGTGCCTCGTCGCCACCCGTGCCTGCACAAACACACTGGTTGAGTGGCGATGAATGGGAGGGAGAGGGGGAGAGAGGGGGAGAGATAAGGGGAGAGATGCTGTGAACTCATCAGCAGCAAAGAGAGGTGCCTCGTCGCCACCCGTGCCTGCACAAACACACTGGTTGAGTGGCGATGAATGGGAGGGAGAGGGGGAGAGAGGGGGAGAGATAAGGGGAGAGATGCTGTGAACTCATCAGCAGCAAAGAGAGGTGCCTCGTCGCCACCCGTGCCTGCACAAACACACTGGTTGAGTGGCGATGAATGGGAGGGAGAGGGGGAGAGAGGGGGAGAGATAAGGGGAGAGATGCTGTGAACTCATCAGCAGCAAAGAGAGGTGCCTCGTCGCCACCCGTGCCTGCACAAACACACTGGTTGAGTGGCGATGAATGGGAGGGAGAGGGGGAGAGAGGGGGAACAGCGGGAAGAGAGGGGGAGGGAGGGGGGAGAGACGGGGGAAGGGAAAAGGTAAAACGACCGAAAGTATCTCAGGGGTGGTGTTTGGCCTAGATAGTAATCAATCAAATCAATGTAATCCCATCATCCAAATCTCACCTCTCACCTGCTCGCACCTCCACAATGCATCCTCTGCTGTCCGCCTCATCCTTTGGCAGTATCCGCCTCACTGCACTCCGCAGCAGCGCCTCCCTCTCCCCACCCACCACCCCAATCTCTTCCCACACCATCGCTCTCAACTCCTCATCCTCCTCGTTCGCCTCCCTGTCGCCTCCCTTCTTCCCTGCGTTTGTGTCTTTGTCCTCGTTAGAAGGCTGGCCTTGTCCCTTTAATAGGGCGTGCAAGTCTTCTAGCTCCTGCGGTTGGAGAAAGAGTTGCAATCACTTTGACAGCTGGAAAAGCAAATGTGTCTACGCTAAACCAGCAACACATTATGGCATACAGCGGACTTCAAAGGCACAATGCTTTGTACCCCTGCTGCTTGTTGGGGATAATTCAAACTCACCTACTAGATAGCCACAACATTTCTAAGAGCCTACCTTTGTCTTCTTCTGCAGCTCCAGTGCGATTGCGACAGCTGGCGCCAGATCACTCATCTCCTTGCCAGCTCTCGCCAGGTCATCTGCTGACGTGTCCGGCTGGAGTAGATGGCACGACAGGCAGGGAAAGCGACCCAAGTGGAAAAGAGGAACAATAACTTAGTGCACCGCATACATTAAACAGCAGCTGATCGGTCTTTTTACACTAACTCTCAGCGAGCAGCAGACTAATCTGGACATAATACCCAGATGACATGGAGGCTGACCTGAGAGAGCAGCTCCTCCAGCTGCTTGTGTCGGGCCAGAACGGCAGAGAGGCTCCTCTCTACCACCGCTGCTAACTCGGCCGGCATCACGGGCGGCGGTGGTGGTGTGGTGTGGCGGACGCTGAAAATGACACGCACGAAGACGACATGCCTCACCTGCGAGAGCAGCTCCTCCAGCTGCTGGTGGCGAGTCAAGGCAGCAGCGAGGCTTCTCTCCACCACCGCTGCTAACTCCGCCGGCATTACAGGTCGTGGTGGCGTGGATGACGCTGAAGACAGCAAGCGGAGGAGGGAAGGAGGAGAGGAAACAGGAAGAACATCAACGCATGGAGAGGGGTTGAAATGGGAAGCAATGAATCATGTGAGTGACACCGAGGTGAGGTTAGGTGAGGTGAGGTGACCTGAGTTCGCACAACACAAACTAGAACACTGGATGACACACCATCGGTAGAGAATCCCGCAGGCTGCAAGAACGGCTGATTCGGTCTCAACAGCAACTCAGCTCCCACTCTTGCTGGCCCTCGCAGCCATTGGCTGGTCTCATCTGACCGTCCGTGTATAGAGGGAATGCTGATAGCCGTCGATCGGGAGCGTGCTCCGCGCGGCCATAGTAACGCGGACGGATTGCGAAATTTGGAAATCTGGGTGAGCGTGGATTGCGGTGGCGAGATAGATTTGTGAGTTGGCTTTGGCGAAGGCGATGAAGGAAGTTGTAGCGCGAGGTTCGAAATCTGGTTACTCGAAAGGTTCGCAAAGAACAGCGAGGCACCTTCGCGACTTTGCTCTGGGGGGGACGCGACTGACAAAGGCTGTAATGAGGACTGCGATGACGATGCGAGGGCGATCGAGGCGTCGGATGACGACACGTGGCCGTTCTGCTGCTGTAGACGGCGGAGATGCGCGGAGAGGAGGGAGATGGACTGGCGTCGCCTCATGGAGGAGAGACGCGAAGCGATCGCAGCGAATGATGCAGTGGTGTAAGGATCAGGGAATTCGGCTGAACTCGAGCGAGTTATACGGAGACGCGATAGCGCAGTCTGAACATCCAAACGCACGTGGCTGGACTGCCTTGGCAACGGTTACCTTGCTTTGTCCACTGTTTTAGGGCGTGCCGCGCTGGGAGTTCAAAATGCTTTAGGTTCGGAATTCCCGAGGGAGGGGGTTACGGACGGAGGGAGCAGTGAAAGTTGAGAGCTCGGAGTCGGGAATGGTTCCTAAGGTTTCCGCGAGTTTGGAAGGTGCGAATCTGAAACCTACACAGGCGAATTTTTGCGAATCGAACATCGCATCACATCTCCAGTATTTCCGATTTCGCAAAGAATGCTCCCTCTTCGCTTCATCGCTCAAGCAGGTATTGAAAGCTGCAAACCTGTCAGCTTTCCAGAATCCGGATTCTATAATTTCTTTTAGTATGCGATTTCCTGTCTTTCTGTGGTGACAGATGAGTCCCTCAACAGCAGTTCCTCGCCGGCCGTACGATTTTATCCTGAAATGCGCATCCCGTGCGCCGCGTTGCCGCACATGCCGGCTAGCAAGTTTGGCCTAAGTGTCGCGCTCGCTACAATTTCACCTAGCCAGGCTGGCTGATTATTTACCATTGTCCGTCGTCGCACGTATTAAGCCTTCCACTCAAACCGAGAAACTTCGTCGGGCGAGCGCGGTCGTCAGCGATGGGTTCGAAGCATCAATTAACAGAGCCGGCTGAGGAGACTTCTGAGTCGTCAGTGAAGCACAAATCCACCGTGCCGACCGTTGGGCCGCCGAAAGGCCTGTTCCTCGCGCTTCTCGCGTTCAGGTCAGCAGAATCGGCAGCTTCGACGAAGCAATTTCCTCGTGGTTTCTGCAATGCAGTCACGTTCAAGTTAATAAACCGGAGAAGATTGTACAGCATCTTTCCACCTCTCTTCCCCCTCCCCCTCTCCCCCCCTCCCCCACCCCCTCACCTTTCCTCTCCCTCCCTGGCTGCAGGTTACTCAACAGTCTGGCAGTGCAGACCTATTTCAACCCGGACGAGTTCTGGCAGGGACCGGAGGTGGCTCACCGGATGGTGTTCGGGTGAGCTGCAATGGGTGAATCCTGATTCACTGCCAGGTCGATGCTGTGATCGAGGGAAGAAGGTGTATTGGGTATTTAACTCATGGCAACCTAGCGTTTGGGTGATGGAGTTATCCAGGAATCATTGCACTTATAAGAGCAAAAGTGCTTCGAATAGCATGCTTGTTGTCAGTAAGGTGTTTTACTGTTTAAGAAATTATATCGTTTATTGTTGCAGTGTCTAAGGAAGGATGCATTTCGTCTATTACCCCAGTTTGTCGCAGAGGGATGTCCTGTCATTCTCGCTTCCTCTCTTCCATTCCTCAACAGCCTCGCTTTACCCAACCTCTCCTGCAACCACCTGCAACCACCTACGTCTACTGATCTGCCATGAAAGTGGGTCTAGAAGTTCATCCGAACGCCAAGTGAACGCCTAGAGTGTGTCAACGTGCCTGAAGGCTGAAGCGCCCCTTCCTCCTCTCCCATGCGCCCCTTCTATTCTCCTTCCCATCCCATCTTCTACATTAACTCCCTTCCTCCTCTCCTTTACGCCCCTCCTATTCCCTTCGCGCCCCTCCCATGCCTCTCTCTCTCTCCTTCAAGCTATGGCTATCTCACGTGGGAGTGGCAGCCTGAATGGGCAGCTCGCTCCTTCCTCCACCCGCTGTTCTTCGCTGCTGGTTACCGCCTGCTCGCCCTCTTACGCTGCGACACGCCCTGGCTCGTTGTGAGTGTTACATTTCAAGCCGCAGGAAGCAAGCACTGTATTGAGCTTCGTTCTTCGCTGCTGGTTACCGCCTGCTCGCCCTCTTACACTGCGACACGCCCTGGCTCGTTTTGAGTGCTGAATCTGTCTGGGGGCTTACGGTAAAACACATAGCGCTGCACACTCTGTGTCTCTCCTTTGTTGGTTACTCACTGCTGGCTCTGCTACAAGCGCAACACTATTAGGACTTAATGGAGCTCCTCCCAATCCCTTTGCTCTGTCTTGATTCTTGCTCCGTACTTGAGTTTCTCTCTTTCTCCATAGCCACTTGTTCTCACTCACCCCTGACCCCTTCTCCTTTCTCCTCTCCCCTCCCCTTTCTTCCCTCGCCCCACCCTCCTCTCCTCTCGCCCCTCTCCGCTTCGGGCCCAGCGCCACTCGCCGCGGTTCATCCAGGCAGCCATGGCAGCACTGGCGGATCTGCGTCTCTCTGCGCTCACTCACATGCTCTTCCCCTCTCCTTTCCCCCCTCCCCCCTCCCCTCTCCCCTTGCCCCCCTCCAGCGCCACTCGCCGCGGTTCATCCAGGCAGCCATGGCAGCACTGGCGGATCTGCGTCTCTACATGCTCACTCGGAGGCTCTTCCCTTCGCACCCTTCCGCTGCTGCATGGGCGGTGAGTTGATGCCCGAAAGTCGTGTCATCATAACTCCACTCCTCGCAGCACAATCCAGGCCACCATAGCAGCACTTGCGGATCTGCGTCATTCTATGCTCACTCACATGCTCTTCCTTCGTGTTGACTTGAAGTGTAAGTTTGGGTTTGAGCTGGGGGAGCCACACATTCTGCGACAGTACCAAGCATATGCGGAGTCGTTTGAAAGGAATCATTTAGAAGGTAAGTTTGGGGAGGAAGAGGGGCGCCGCTGGAAGAGCACAGGAGGAGAATTGTCGTTCATTCCTCCTCTCAGTGGATGACATATTCTCCTCCAGTACTCTTCCCGCGCCGCCCCTCTTCCCCTCGACTCCCACATTCAAAATAACTCCAACCTCCGCATATGCCTGGTACTGTCGCAGAGTGTGCGGCTCCCCCAGCTCAAACCCAAACTCGCACTCCAAGTCTTCCCCCAGCTCCTCTGCAATCTCACCTGCTGGTTCCTCGTCTTCTGCGCCACGCGCACCTTCTCCAACTCCCTCGAAGCCTCCCTCGCTGTCATTGCCCTCCCCCTCTGTCCCACACGCACCTTCTCCATCCAATGCTCTCTGCTCCCCTCGTGTTCCCCTCTCTCCCCTCCCCAGCTCCTCTGCAATCTCACCTGCTGGTTCCTCTTCTTCTGCCCACACGCACCTTCTCCAACTGATGCTCCGACATACCACATTCACCCTCATCACCTCTCGCCCCTCCCGTTCTCTCCTCCCCTCTTCCCCCCCCCCCCCAGCTCCTCTGCAATCTCACCTGCTGGTTCCTCTTCTTCTGCGCAATTCGCACCTTCTCCAACTCCCTCGAAGCCTCCCTCGCCGTCCTCGCCCTCTCCTACTGGCCCTGGCGCCACTGCCAGGGGGACGCTGAGGGTGGGCATGGGGCTACTGAGCTCGCACAGGACACGAGTGAGGGGGCACAGGGGCGCACTGAGGCCGCCAAAGGGCAAGGTGCTGAGCAAGGGAGAGGAGGAGTGCAATGGTCTACACCTGCTCTCCTCACTGATCCTGATCCTGGGGGAGCCAACCGGCTGCTGGCCCTCGCCCTGGCAGCAGCGGCGTGCATGGTTCGTCCCACCAGCACGCCCTTCTGGTTACCCCTGGGTCTGCACGAGCTCTCACTGCTGCTGGTGGATGGGGGGCTGAGAGGAGGGAGGGGCCGATGGGAATGGGTGCGGCTGCTGTTGCTGGAAGTGCTGCCTATCGGGTGAGGCTTGGTAAGCCTTGCCCCTGTGAAAGTGTCTGTAGGTGGGCTTCTTGGTCATGTGTGTGTATGCCCCGCCCCACCCAACTTAACAGTCTTTTTCCGCACTGCGCTCCCTCCCTCTCCCTGTCACCATTCTACTGTACTTCCTCCCTTCCCGGTCCCTGCCCCCAGCTTGACAGCTGTCGCGATAACAGTGGCTGTGGACAGCTGGCAGTACTGCCGGCCTATGGTGTTCACCCCTCTGAACCTGCTGCGCTTCAACGTGCATCTCAAGGGCTCCAGTCTCTACGGCAGCAACCCCTGGCACTGGTACTGGTCGCAGGTAGGGCGAGGGTGTCTGCTGGTGTGTGCACGTACATGCTTTGGGGCATGTGGCTGGCCACCCTACGGTCTCTCCGCCGCTCCCCTCTGAACCTGCTCCGCTTCAACGTGCATCTCAAGGGCTCAAGTCTCTACGGCAGCAACCCCTGGCACTGGTACTGGTCGCAGGTGGGTGGGTGGGTGCGGGCAATAATGGTACTGGTCGCAGGTAGGAGCGTGCGTGTGTGTGTGCACCTCGGCATTGTGTGTGCACAATGCCTACGGGCGTGCTTTGGGCATGTGGCTGGCCTACGGTCTTCCCACCCCTCTCCCCTGAACCTGCTCCATTTCAACGTGCATCTCAAGGGCTCCAGTCTCTACGGAAGCAACCCCTGGCACTGGTACTGGTCGCAGGTAGGAGTGTGAGTGTGTATGCATGTGGATAAGGAACGAGTGCATGAGCAGACCCCGCAGTGGTCTATTAGCCATCCATAACACACCTTTTTTCCTCCCCTATCCTCGCATGCTCTCAACCTCGGGATCTGCATAGCATCCTGTTGCACCCCTGTGCACACCTCTGCTGCACACCTCTGCTACCCTCCTAGCCCCCTTCCATCCCATCCTTCTTCCGAAGCACTCCTAGTTCTCCTCACAGCCATGCCATGCAAGACACACCTTCATTCCTCCCCCTCGTGTTCATTCATCCTCGCTCTCCCTCAGGATCCTTATAGCACCGTTTTGCACCATTCTGCACCCCTCCTCATCCGCTCCTTTCTCTTCTCTTCACCCTCCTTATCCCCCCATTGTCGCAATGCACTAACCTCTCCCCCCCCTCACATGCATTTTATCTTTCTCATAATTCTCTCACTCGGACCTCTCTACACCCCTCACCCCGCCTCATCTCCCCCAGGGCCTCATAGCCATGCACGGCACTTTCTTCCCCTTCGCCTGCCTCGGCCTCCTCTGGTGCCCCTCCCCCTCTTACACGCCACCTCGTTTTAAGCACGCAATCTGGTTTCAGCATGTGCTGCTGCGGGTGCATGGGGGTCTGCTGTGGTGGTCGGTGCGCCTGCCCTTCCTGCTCGCCCTCTGGCTGCCTCTCTTCTACTCCCTCTCCGATCACAAGGAGCACCGGTGAGCGTGGGGGGCACTAGTGTGTGTGAGGAACATCGGTGAGTGTGAGTGAGGGGAATGGTAGGAGCATTTTCAGCATGTGCTGCAGCGGGTGCATGGGCGTCTGCTGTGGTGGTCGGTGCGCCTGCCCTTCCTGCTCGCCCTCTGGCTGCCTCTCTTCTATTCCCTCTCCGACCACAAGGAGCACCGGTGAGCGTGTGTGAGTGAGGGGAGTGGTAGGAGCGTATTCAGCATGTGCTGCAGCGGGTGCACGGGGGTCTGGTGTGGTGGTCCTCCCCCTCTTACACCCCACCTCGTTATAAGCACACACGCTGGTTTCAGCATGCACTGCAGCGGGTGCATGAGGGTCTGCTGTGGTGGTCGGTGCGCCTGCCCTTCCTGCTCGCCCTCTGGCTGCCTCTCTTCTACTCTCTCTCCGACCACAAGGAGCACTGGTGAGTGTGGAGTGATAGGAACACCGGTGAATGAGTCGGTGTGTTGCTTGCAAGCTTGTCATGTCTGCTAACAAATGCTGGGGTACAGTAGTTTTACTGTTTGCCCTTCATTTACTCCTTTTTTTCCCCGCAACAGTTTTCAAGCTTGACACGAACTCTTGGGTATCATCCCTCGGTGGCTTCTGAGTTGACTCAAGATTCGTTCCCTAAGCAACCTTCGTCTATTCTCCCTACACCTCCTACCTCCCCATTCTTCATGTCTCCGTTCCCCACATCCCCCTTCCTCGCAGCTTCATCCTGCTCTCTCTCCCTCTCCTCAACACGTACACTGGTCTCGCCCTCTCTCTCCTGCGCTCAAGACTCGCCACCACCACTGACAACCGCAAGACGCTCCACCAGTCGCCTCAAATCCATCAGAAATTGAACTCCTCCAAAACCCACGATCCATCCCAGGCACCCAACCCATCAAAACCACCCTGCCCACCCAACCCATCTCGAATATCTCCCAGCCCAGTGTCCTCTCCTTCCTCCCAGACATGGCCCTCCTTCCTCTCCCCCTTCCTCCACCCACGCTCACTCCGTTTCCGCCTGCTCTTAGCAGCCGCCTTCCTCCCCCAGCTCCTGGCCGCTCTCTACCTCTCCACCACCCACCAGCGAGGCACCATTGCTGTCATGCCCTTTTTAGAGCGCGAAATCAACACCATCATGCAGACCCGCGCAACACCATCGAGGGGCGAGGGGAGGGGAGGAGAAATTGAGGGGAGGGGAGGAGGAATCGAGGGGCAGGGAGGAGTGAGGAAGGGAGGGGTGGAGGTGTTGTTTCTGATGCCATGTCACTCCACGCCCTTCCACGCCCACCTCCACAACCCTGCAGTCACACTCACCATGCTCTCGTGCGCACCCATCCTCACAAGTAAGCCTCTGGTCTCCTGCTCCTGGCCTCATGCCTCTCAGTCTTCTCGTCTCTTGTTCTGCCGTCAGTCCTTCACACAGTTAGTCTGACCTTCACAGTTAGTTAGTCTTGTGAAGTTAGTCTGCTCGCCCTTTCTCTCCCACCTTCACAACCCTGCAGTCACGCTCACCATGCTCTCGTGTGCAACAAAGAAATGCCAGCAGGGCCAGCAGTCCTCCATGCCTTGTTGCCATCCACACTCATCCATCTTCTCAACTCCCTCTCCCACTCCTCTACTCTCTCTGCCTCTTCCCCTTGTCTCTTGCCACCTTCTCTCCTCCGGCCCATCCCAATGGCTTCATCACCATTTCTCGTGAAAGGGAGTTTGACAATATGCTAGCAGACCCACATCCTTCCTCATATCCCACTAAACCGCTCTGCAATCCTTTCCTCTCGCCCCACCTCTTCCCCTCGTTTTTATCCCCATCCCTACCTCCCCTGTCCAGCTCATCCCAACGGCTCCATCACCATGGCTCGTGAAAGCGAATTCGAGGATCTACTAGCAGACCCAAATGCCTTCCTCACATCCCTCTACACCGTCCATCCATCTGTTCATGCGTGCATCACGGGCCTGACCCATGGTGCGACTGCAACTGCTGCTGCTCGCCATGCTACAGCTGCTGCTGCTCACCGTGCTACAGCTGAATCTCATAATGCTGGGGACGCTGGAGCCGACTGCTATGCTGCCAGCCCCACGACCTGCAGAAGCAGCAGCAGCAGCAGCAGCAGCAGCAGCAGTGGGACAACAGAGCAGGGGCCAGGCAAGCATGGGGAGCATGCTGATGGGCATGCAGATGCAGATGGGCATGCATATGCGGACTTGCGTACATGTGTAGGCGATTCCAGACAGCGAGAGGGCAGATGCGAGGCTGCTGGTGATGAGGGGGATAGAGGGGAAGGAGCACAGGAAGCAGCACCTGCTGAGCTAAATGAAAACTCGTGCTCGTGCTTGAAGCAGGCAGAGAAAGGGGGTTGTTTGGAAGGGTGTGATGTGCTGGATGGAGGTGGGCGGGCGGGGCTGCCAGATCTGGTAGTGGCGTTTGATACAGAGGAGAAGCTGCTGCTGCCGTTCCTCCGGTGTGCTGGATACAGAGAGGTACGTTTCTGTTACATGTGCCGGTTACGCAGAGGTACGTGGGATCTAGTGGGAGGTGGGCGGGCGGGGCTGCCAGATCTGGTAGTGGCGTTTGATACAGAGGAGAAGCTGCTGCTGCCGTTCCTCCAGTGTGCCGGATACAGAGAGGTACGTGCTTGGCTCTGACAAAGGTGGGACGGGTTGGATGGATGGAGTTGGGTGTCTGGAGCTGCCAGAGCTGCCAGAGCTGCCAGAGCTGCCAGAGCTAGTGGTGGCGTTTGACACAGAGGAGCCGCTGCTGCTGCCATTCCTTCAGTGTGCCGGATACACAGAGTTAGGTGTTCTCCCATCTCATTCGCATTGCTTCCGCTGCTGCTCATTCGCATTGCTTCCGCTGCTGCTGATCCTGGCATTTGACATGGAGGGACAGCTGCTCTGCTGCTACCGTTTCTCCAGTGTGCTGGGTACACAGAGGTGCGTGTCTCCCCTGTGCTCCGAGCACACAAAAGTATGTGCTTCCCTCGTGCATTGCTGCTGCTGCTGCTCCTGCTGCTGCTGGTGCGTGTCGATTGACACATATGAGCAGCTGTTGCTGCTGCCGGGTCTACCTACAGAGGTAGGTACGTATCTCTCATGTGCAACACACCATTCGGGCACCCCCCCGTTCCAACTCAAGATCAAATTTGCCGTGCTAGCCAGATTGATGAATGGAATCAGGTTTTGTTCATTGTTTTCGAGAGTTGTGGAGTGAAGACATCCGTATCAATCAAAGCGAGTATGTTATATTTATATGGTGCTTGTTGTCTGTCTTGATTCACTTTGCAGGTGGCGCGATTCTTTCATGCACACTTCCCCGTTGACAGGGAGCTGCAAGGGCATGTACTAGTGTATAGAAAACATGCGATTTTATAGGAAGTAGTAGTATCATATACACTAAAGTATACATTACACTGACTTCTGCACCGCTATTCAACTCGCTTCATCCCACTGTACCACAATCTTTTTATAGTCCTCTGTAACCCATTGATGTCTCTGTCTCGTATCTCGAGAGAAGCCCCATGTGGTGCCACCGACTAAAATCCTAGAGCTTTTGACTATCGACTTTGCCCCCCACCTTTCCCTAGACACCCCACTTTGCCACCCAGCAGCACCCCCCTCGATAATCTCAACGCTCTGTTACGTGGCGCCGGTTCGTCCGTCGATTGTCGGCTCGCGGAAGAGTCACACCGCGACTCGGTGCATATAGGGTAGCGCGCTGCACCACCATTCCCCCACCGCCAGGGATTAGGGCCCCCTGAAGGTCAACGCTGATGGCCGCACCGAAACCCATCAAACAAATCCTATCCGCACATCAACCTCGACAGATGCGCTGCGTCGTCCGAAACAAACAACTTCCCGCCGCCTCCAACCAAGCAGGGGGTGCTGGGGGGTGCCGTTGGGGTCGATTACCTACATTTTTTTTTTCTCCGACCCTAGTCATCGTTTGCTGTAGTGGACAAGCAAACCGATCGGAGGCGGAACCCGAAATTCCTGTCATGCTCCCGCCGAGCCTCGTGCAGAGCCTCCCTCCCAGCCTCGCTCCGAACCGCCTCGGTTCGGACTCGATGCCCGGCGTCGTGCGGCAGTGCGAACGAACGTGGATAGTAGCGAGTCGTGATAGCAGCGAGTCGTGATTATCCACTGAGCTCCCGTCTCCAGTCGTATAAGTCGCTGCTCATTCCCACCCATGCATTCAATATCCTCGATATCTCCACTCTCGCCTTTCGTGAATACTTGTTTGTAGTCAGGTTCCCTAGTACTAGCCCGGACAGCAGCACCTTATAGTACGACCAGCAGCACCTGGTCCGTGCGCGGACCTCGAACCTCTCCGCCTGTGCGCGGAACCCCTCGCGGAGCCCCTCGCGGAGCCCCTCGCGGAGCCCCCCTACGCGGATCTCCCCTGGGGAACTTGAAGCAGCGCGTCGAATGGCGTCCGTCAAGTGGAGCCCCATCAGCCTCCCCCTGCTGCTTCTGCTGCTGCTCGCGGGTAAGGGGAACCCCATCGGCCCTCCCCCCTCCCCTCCCCCTCCCCCTGCTGCTGCTGCTCGCGGGTAAGCGGCCTACTACTAGCAGCGAGAGGAGAGTTTGTGCCTTGCGATCCAGACTCACTCACCTCTTTCCCCGCCCTGTGTGCGGTGCTGTGTGCTGTACGTTTCTGTGCGGTGCTGTGCTGTTCTGTGCGGCGCTGTGTGGGGCTGTGCTGTTCTGTGCTGCAGGATCGCTGGACACTCCGTGGACAACCATCCGCTCTGCCACTCTTGCGGTCAGCAAACGCGCAATCTTAGCACCATGGCATGGACTATGCATGCACTATGCACCATGCATGCACTATGCACCATGCATGCACTATGCACCATGCATGCACTCTGCACCATGCATGCACCATGGCATGCAGCATGACATACAGCATGCACCATGGAAGTGCATCAATTATAAGCGCCGCTCCTCCCCACCCCCTCCCTCCCCCCCCCCTCCCCCCCCCCTCCCCCCCCCCTCCCTCCCCCCCCCCCTCCCCCCCCCCCCCCCCCCCCCCCCCCTCCCTCTCCCCCCCTCCCCCCCCCCTTCCCCCCAAACCCCATTCCCGAAAATGCGCTAAAAAAAAACCGTTTGCTCCCCCATCCCTCCTGTGCTCTTTTTCCTCTGCCCTGTGTGCCGTCAGGACGCCAAGACAGTGGTGGTGGGGTGGAGGTCCCAAGGCTGGAATCCGAGTGTGAAGTCGTGGGAGCATTTAGAGTTGACTCGTAAGGCCCTTTTGTTGTGTGCTGGCATGGCAGGACGCCAAGACCGTAGTGGTGGGGTGGAGGTCCCAGGGTTGGATGCCGAGTGTCAAGACGTGGCGGCCTCCCTATGTCAAAGAGGGCGACAAGCTTGGTGAGATCCTGTATCTTTCCTCCCTCTCTCTCTCTCTCTCTCTCTCTCTCTCTCTCTCTCTCTCTCTCTCTCTCTCTCTCTCTCTCTCTCTCTCTCTCTCTCTCTCTCTCTCTAATGGTCCTCTCATTGATGTAAGGGGCGGATTACAGACATGCAGAGTATAGGCATAAGCTGACATCCAAGCAGTCAAAACAAGCCACGCATGCAATCATCTAACTCAGAACGACTGGCGGCGCAAGCACAACGTGGTCTCGCTTTCAGAGTTTGGCTACACTGTGGGCTATTTCGGAAAAACCGATTACCACGTCTATGTTCTCACCAAGCCCTCGAACAAAGGCAGGCTCGTGGTGACAGTGAATCTCCTATCCACTGATACCAAGTACTACAGTGGCTACTTCACCAGCAGCGTGGGCAACGACTGCCGCAAAGGCATGAAGGTCGCCTTGCTGCGCTCCGCTCTCTGATGAGTATCGAGTCAACTCAAAAAGTGAGATGACAGTGAACCTGGACCCTGGAGATACCAAGTACTACAGTGGCTGCTTCACCAGCAGCATTGGGAACGACTGTCACAAAAGCATGAAGGTTGTCTTGCGATGCCCCTCGTTCTGATGAGTAGTGTAGGTCTGGGAATTTTTTTGTTTTTGGCGAACCTAAGCTAAGCTGACTCAAGCAACTTCACTGGCTCAGTGGTGTGTGAGGGGAGTGAGTAGGTTAAGGCATGAGAATAAGGTGGTCGCAGCAAATCGCCAGTTACAGCACTCTTTCAATGGTCTGTGTGTGTGGCATTGTGAACGTGGTGCTCATTCTTGGCCCAGCTTACTGTTTGCGTGCTGTATAAGATGAGCAAGTAATTGCCACCATGTGAATAGTTGCATGTCTATTACTTTTAGTAAAAATAAGTATATTGGTGTTCAATAAAGCTTGCTGACTAGATAAAGGCAGATTGAATTGATAACTTGTATCTTGTGTTTCAGCTGTTTTGTTTTTTTACATAACCTTCACAGAACTACGTGGTAGGATATCTTTACCGCAATGCAACTTTCTGCATCTTACTGCAACACAACTCAGCATCTTACCCCCTGCAATCACGGAACTCTCGTCTCGGGGAAACATAGTGAAGTAGGATGGGCGGCACACACGGCATTTGATAATTTACTTCGCCCGAGCCACCCCAGTTTGCCAACCTGCCCTCAATAGCAGCACCCCCGTCGATAGTCTCATCTCAACGCTGATTTGTGGGCCCTTTTCGCTCGTCGATCGTCGTCGACTCGCGCCGCCATTTCCCAACCGCCAGCGATTAGTAGGGCCGCCTGAAGGGCATCCCAGGCCGATGGGATGACCGCCGCATCAACACCCATCCGACGATCCTGTCCGCATATCACCTTAATGGATGCGGCGTCGCGTTGTCCGAAACAAACAACCCCTGCCTCCAACCAGGGGATGCTGTCAAAATCCCAGTCACTAACCACTGGGATAAAAGGGCTTGTTTATATAGCGGGTGAGTGCGCCCATAACCCCCCAGGCCGACGTGCCTGTAACCCTTCCCTAGGATCATCGGGGATCCCCAGTGGACCTCTGACACCCCCCCGCACTGGGATGCCCGAAGTGCACACACCGGGAATCGAACCCGAGACCTTCGCTCTGATACCATGTCAGAATCCCAGTCACTAACCACTGGGATAAAAGGGCTTGTTTATATAGCGGGTGAGTGCGCCCATAACCCCCCAGGCCGACGTGCCTGTAACCCTTCCCTAGGATCATCGGGGATCCCCAGTGGACCTCTGACAGATGCTGGGGGGTGCCGTTCAGTCGAGCACACTTTTGTCGAACCTAACAATGTCAACCGTTTGGTCGTAATCTTTATGTGTAATGCTTCAGCTAGAGAGGAATGGTTGACGTATGTCGAGTTCTGCACCACTCTTTCACACGCGAACTGACGACACGGGAAAACCTAAATTCATGTCTCGCTGGCGCGGGCCGGGGCGGCCTCGCTCCGCGTCCCCCGGGCCTCGCGCCCGTTTGCCAACCAACGCGTGAGGGACTCGTTGATGTGTTCCCCCGTCACCGACGGCGAACGAGTATGACACACCGTCTCGCTCTTGATCGACGATAAAGAGCGGGGAAAGTGTCGGTCCTCTGAGTATCAGACGTAGCAGTTTGTCAGTAAGAACTACGCCGGAAAACTAGCACTACGCAAGTTCAGCGACTCGATCTGACGACGGCTCCTCTCCTACGCGAGACCATGACACGTCTGTCCCTGATCGCGCTGCTTCTGCTCCTGGCAGGTAACGAAGCGGGTCTCGTGCTGCTGCCAGCACGGGTTGTAAGTCAGTCTGTATGGTACATGGATGTACTAGCTTATGTCTCGTATTTTATACCGTCTGGGAGAAACTTTTAACGAGTCCCGCGTAGCTGGGCCAAATAAGACGGACCATCGCGGCTTCAGGCCTGCCAAGCGGCAGCTTTTGAGCCGATTAAAGTATTTCTTATTCAACCAGGCCACTTGACCTGGCACTCGGATGTTTCTGCTGTGTGCTGTCACCCACTACTGTAATTCCATCAACTGTGCAGGCTGCTTGTTGAACCTTCCGGGCACCCAACCTTCAGTCGCGGTAAGTGCGCTGCCCCAAACCCCTTACGCTTCCTTCCCAGGTCCCCCCTTTGTTTTACGCTTCCGCTGCCCTTTCAAGGGCCCTTCTCCTTCCATATTTCCTCATTTCCCCGTCGGTGCATTGCGTGTAGCTACTGCAAAGCAAACTATGCGATTTGCAGTTACGCGCATGAATTGATTACAACAGTTACATTCAACTACATGCTGCTTGTTGCCACACTAGGCACTGCTGGTAGTGCTGCTCTGAACGCATATGATGTGATTTATTAGGCGCCTCAACAATCAGTTACATTCAGTTACATGCTGCTTCTCACCACACTAGTGACTGGTGGTAATGCCGCTCTGAATGTGTATGTCGTCTCGTCACGTCCCATCCACTCCATGCAGCATGCAGCGACATATGTGGCTGGCGGCAGCAAGGGCTGGCCTGGAGTCAAGTCTTGGAAATTACCCCACATTAAACAAGACGATGTACTAGGTACGCGTCACAGTAGAGAATTCTCAAAAGGGATTTCCATATAGCCGATCTACAAGGTACGCGTTACAGTGCTTCAAGCTTGCAGTACTAGCAACAGCGTAATGGCCACCTGTCACCCTCATAATGCTGTCACCCCCATCGTGCTGTCACCCTCATAATGCTGTCACCCCCATCGTGCTGTCACCCTCATAATGCTGTCACCCCCATCATGCTGTCACCCTCATAATGCTGTCACCCCCATCATGCTGTCACCCTCATAATGCTGTCACCCCCATCATGCTGTCACCCTCATAATGCTGTCACCCCCGTCATACTGTCACCCTCATAATGCTGTCACCCCATCATGCTGTCACCCCCATCATGCTGTCACCCTCATAATGTTGTCACCCCCATCATGCTGTCACCCTCATCATGCTGTCACCCTCATCATGCTGTCACCCTCATCATGCTGTCAACCCCATCATGCTGCCACCCTCATCATGCTGCCACCCTCATCATGCTGTCACCCTCATCATGCTGTCACCCTCATCATGCTGTCACCCTCGTAATGCTGTCATCCCCATCATGCTGTCACCCCCATCATGCTCCCACCCTCGGCTTGGCTCCTGATGAGCACCTGCTTCCCGTGTCTCTTGTTCTTGCCTCCCGTTACTGCAGTTTTCAAGTGGGGAGGCGGTCTTGGTAAGGTGATGGGCAAGAAGCACGACCTTGCGACGGCCAGCTCACGAGCAGCGATGGAAGGCTGCAACACTAAGTCTGTTAGCAAGATGCTCGTCAAGGCCTCGGTCAAGGCCAAGACGTCTGTCGCACTTTTCTATAATTCTTACTACTTTTTTAGCACGGTTGGGAAGGACTGTGCCAAGGGCATGAAACTGGCAATCAGCTTTGCATAGTTTTGTGGCCGCATTTCTCTGCCATGTGATACTGTCGGGAACGCATTGATTGGTGGTAGGACGTATGAGAATAGATTTACCCAGTGGTCGTGTCACACTATTTTGCTGCAATTCAAGCTCAGGCTGGGTGCTAGTAACTAAGGTTCTCATTAGCAGCTGACGAGATTGTTCTGTTAGTTCGTCTAAATTACATACATGCTTTCTTTTCATGGTATTTAGAAGGGAAAATATGCCATTCGTAACCTTCATGGGACTCGATAACACAGTTGGTAAAAAAATAAAGGGTACGGTCACTGCAAAGGGTGTTTTCACGCGACTGATAAAGAGTTTCACGGAATCAGTCACAATCAACTGGTAAAAAAAAACGCGAATGGTCACAGATGAAATTCCCGCCAAAACAAAATGAAACCCAAAAAGAATCTGGGTGCATTTTCGGATTAATCAACCCTAACACGTAACTAGCCAGGTGTTTAGGGTTGATCCGTTCCCGAACCGCATCCGATTCCGATTGGGTTTTAGTTTTTTTTACAAGTTCGCAGATTGGTTGGGGGCGAGCGGGAATTTTGTTGAGTTTCAAGTTTTTTTGGCGGGAGTTACATGTGTGACCATTCGCGTGATTTTTTACCTGTTGTTAATGACTGAATCCGTGACCCCACTTACCAAACCCGTCAGGAAACCCGATACAGTGACCGTACGCGTTTTTTTTGTACCATTTACGTTATCAAGTCCCAAGTTCGTTACTTGTGACATATTTTCCCTATTTAGAATGTATCAAATTGATTAGGTCGTTACACTAAATAAGCTACACTTTACTGACAGGATGATGTTTTGAAACGTCCGTACCGCGATTCAACTCTCGTCATCGCACTGTACCACAATCACCTTATGGCCCCCGCAGCCATTCACACCTAGCCCCCAGAGAAATCCTACGGCACCACAGAAGGTACCGCTGCAGACAACAAGAGCGGCAGATGCGGCGTTTGACAATCTATTTCACCCGCATTTTTACCCAGCCACACCAGTTTGCCATCCATCCCTAGCGGCACCCCCGCCGATTATCTCAACCCTGTTTTGTGAGCCACTCACACCGCGACTCGGTGCATATAGTTTAGCGCTCTGCACCGCCATTTCCCCGCAGCCATTTATTAGGACCGCCTGAGGCTGATGGCTGCACAAGCACCCCCAATCCGACGATCATCCTACCCACACATCAGCGATAGATCGGACCAAGGCGACATGGCGAGTTTTGCGAGTGTCCGAGGCGCGGCGTTCGCACAACAAGCAGTTGGACCAAACCAGCGGCTATTGGACAAGTTAAAGTTGTTTTTCTGGTCGTAACCAGTTTAAGGGGTATCCACTCCTAGATGAGCACGTGCTAACCCCTACTTGGGGCTGGCAGAACACGCCTGCACGGGGGTGGGTTCGATCCCAGGACCTCATCTATCGGAAGTGCCTAGGCCACTTCGGGATGAGCGGCTATTGGACAAGCTAACTGACCTAAAACTGGGGGAACCTAAAATTTCCTGTCTTGCTCCGGGCCTCGTGCCAGAACCTCACTCCAAACTCGCTCCCAGCTCGCTTCCCCAACTCGCTCCCGGGCTGCTCGTTCGGACTTGCTGTGAATGTGGCTAGTAGCGAATTATCATTCAGAGGAGAGCATGATTCCCGTCTCTCAGGCGTACAAATGCCGCTCAGTCCCACACACGCATTATCCTACGCACAGCCTCTCTCTCCCCGGTGAGCCTCAGTTGCGACTCTAGCCACGTTCCCTACTACTACTAGTAGCAGTCCCAGCAGGTCCTGCCTCTCCGTCAAACGTTCCGTCAACTCACGTCGGATCTCGCCGTCGGATCTCGCCGTCGGATGCCGTCGGATTTCACGTCAGACCCTTCTTGTGAACCTCTCGCGAAGTCTCTCGCACGGGCCTGAGGTAACCTGTCCAATGGCGTACGTCAAGTGGAGCCACATCGGCCTCCCCCTGCTGCTGCTGCTGCTCCTCGCGGGTAAGTAAAGCCCCATTTGGCCCCCCAACCCCCTGCTGCCGCCGCTGCTGCTGCTGCTGCTCCTCGCGGGTAAGCGCCCTGCTACTACCAGCGAGAGGTGTTTCAGCCTTGCGATCCAGACTCACTCACCCTCTCGTCGCACCCTGTCTGTGATGTTGTGCTATGCGTTGCTGTGCTGTGCTGTGCTGTGCTGTGCTGTGCTGTGCGGTGCTGTGCCGTGCTGTGCCGTGCTGTGCTGTTGCAGGTTCGCTGGACACTCCGTGGACCACCATCCGCACAGCTGCACTTGCGGTAAGCTCTGTTTCAATCCTATGCACCACCCTTGCTGCCGTCTTATAGCAAGTAGCACTTTCCGTCAAGTTCATTTCGACCTGATCCTTCTTCCGCAGACATAACCATGCTACGGTTAGATTTGGAGGGGCTCGTACACTGTTTGTTTAAACAGGTTTTGCTGCATTGTTTTTGGCATGTACGAGAATATTTTTGCATACGAGACTAGTCATTTTTGGGATGTACGCACCATCGTTCTCCGCATGCACCATAGCATGCATTATCAAACGCAGACCATCGCATCGCACGCAGCATTAGCATCGCATCCACCATCATGGGAAGCATCGCGTGCATCGTCGTCGCGTGCATCATTTCGAGAAACATTGCAGGCATGCATGCATGTGTGCACCATCCCATCGCATCGCTTGCGCACACTGCTCTCCCCTCCTGTGTGCGGAGATGGTGCTGATTGCTTCAATGAAGTGTTGGATCGTTTCGCTCTCTCTTTTGCTGCTTCCCCTCGCCAGCCGTGTGCTCCTCTCGCTCGCTCCCCCCCTCTCTCTCTCCCCCCGCTTCCTTCCCCGCGTGCTGGCAGGTGGTGGGGTGGAAGAACCAGGGCTGGAAGGGGAGTGTGAGGACGTGGGATTATTTTGAGTTGACTCATGAGGTCCCTCCCCTTTGTTGTGTGCTGGCTGGCAGGATGCCAAGACGGTGGTGGTGGGGTGGAAGAACCAGGGCTGGAGGCGGGCGAGTATGGGGACGTGGGAGTGTTTTGAGTTGGCTCATGAGGTCCCTCCCTTATTTGTGTGTGGGCAGGATGCCACGACGGTGGTGGTGGGGTGGAAGAACCAGGGCTGGAGGCGAGTATGGGGACGTGGGAGTGTTTTGAGTTGGCTCATGAGGTCCCTCCCTTATTTGTGTGTGGGCAGGATGCCAAGACGGTGGTGGTGAGGTGGAAGAACCAGGGCTGGAGGCGAGTGTGAGGACGTGGGGGCCTCCCTTTGTCACCAAGGGCGACAAGCTCGGTCAGCTCCTGCTGCTGCCTCTATCCTACCTATCTCTGGGTCTCTCTCTCTCTCTCTCTCTCTCTCTCTCTCTCTCTCTCTCTCTCTCTCTCTCTCTCTCTCTCTATCTCTCTCTCTCTCTCTCTCTCTATCTCTCTCTCTCTCTCTCGCTCTCTCTTCCCCTCTCCCCCATCTGTCTGCCCAACCCCATCCCACCATCTGTCTGCCCAACCCCATCCTCGCATGTGTCTGCCTTACCCCATCCCCGCATCTGTCTGCCTTACCCCATCCCCCCATGTGTCTGCCTAAACCCATCCCCCCACGTGTCTGCATAACCGCATTCCCCCATGCGTCGGTTTACTGCCACCTGCGTCTATCCCCCAACCCCCGGTGCTCGTGTCTTGTCTCCGCACTGCAGTGTTCAAATGGAACGACTGGCGGCGCAAGCACAACGTGGTGTCTGTAGACAACTTCAACTACAACATCTGCTTCTTTGGAAAGAGTGACTACAAAGTCTACGTCCTCACCAAGCCCATTCCCCCTCGTGTCTGCCTAACCCCATCCTCCCATGCGTCGGCCTATCCCCACACATGTCTCTCCCCTAACCCCCATGCCCGTGTGTCTGCACTGCAGTGTTCAAGTGGAACGACTGGAGGCGCAAGCACAACGTGGTGTCCATAGACAACTTATGTCCTCAAAGTTTATGTCCTCACCAAGCCCTCGAAAAAGGGCAGGCTCGTGCTGCCAGTGGTTCCCGGTGATACCAAGTACTACAAGGGCTACTTCACCAGCAGCGTGGGGAATGACTGCCGTAAAGGCATGAAGGTCGCGTAGCTGCGCCCCTCCATGTGATGAGTAGGAAGATTGCTTTGCTGCACCCCTCCTTGTGATGAGTAGGAAGGTTGCCTTGCTGCGCCCCTCAATGTGATGAGTAGGAAGGTTGCCTTGCTGCGCCCCTCAATGTGATGAGTAGTGGTGAGTAGCCCTCGAAAAAAGGGCAGGCTCGTGCTGCCAATGCTTCCCGGTGATACCAAGTACTACAAGGGCTACTTCACCAGCAGCGTGGGGAATGACTGTCGCGAACGTATGAAGGTCGCGTAGCTGCGCCCCTCCATGTGATGAGTAGGAAGACTGCTTTGCTGCGCCCCTCCTTGTGATGAGTAGGAAGGTTGCCTGGCTGCGCCCCTCAATGTGATGAGTAGGAAGGTTGCCTTGCTGCGCCCCTCAATGTGATGAGTAGGAAGGGTGATCTCAGTGTTTGGGGTGGGCCTGACCTGAGCTGACTAACCGTTAGGAGAAACGGGCAAAGAAACGGTTTATTTCGTACACGCGTGACGTGCTCAATAAAGAATGCCAAGACAAATCTTACACAACCCCACGAGGATTTATGCCAAACAAATTGTCTGTTCTGTACTCAGATGTATAGATCCATTCTCATGTCTGTGTTCTTGTCATGTGGTGTAGACTATCGTTAGCGCGCCCATATGTCCTTATCGTAGGATGGCGACTCGAGCACTTCATTATAAGCTGCTGCCCCTAGACCCTATTTGAGTACACTTTGTTGTACGGCGAATTGGTGAGGTGTACAGTACCGTGCACCAATGACTGTCTTATTCCAGCCCACCGTGTCCCAGGGGCTGGTACACGTGGTTCCAAAAATTGCCCCACAAGGTTTGGTTGGTAAACGTCCCGCATCGCGATGTACCGTACCACATTCTGCACTTTGATGGTTGACTATTTCACTGTTATGTTTTGGAGGGCAGAAACATTTCTGGGCAGTCATCTGCAGCTGTTTGAACCTAACAGCTGAATTCAATTCCAAAGTCAACTCGAAAGCTTATACAGAAAGATGCATATGAGGTCAGAAACAGCCAGAAACCGCAAGTTTTTTGCCCCGCAGGTGTCCTTCGGTCCCGAATCGCGTTTCAGCGCGACGACTGTTGAGTGGCGCCCCCAACACCCTGACCAGGCTAGTGCTTTCACCAAGCCTCTGGTCTGGTTCGGGGCCTCGTTGTACCCGCTCGTATTCGCAGGCCAACATCCCTTATCACTACGTGAGCATTCCGTGTGGAGCAAACAAGAACTTCAGACACGCTTCAGAACTTCATTTTTCTCTGGGCCCCAAAGCACGTTAGCATATGTAGGAACAAGCTGATCATCACATCACTCCCAAGACATAGTCGAGCCGCAGACATAGTCTCTCCCCGTAGTTCTACTCGTCGTTGACATTATTTCGTTTGCCGTATACTCATCCACTTGCGGGCTGCGGACCTAACTTGGAATGGCGTCTGTCAGATCGAGACCCGGGCTCGTCTGCTGCTGCTGCTGCTGCTGCTTCTCCTCGCGGGTTAGCGGCGAGTCCTTTCTCACAGCCACCGGAAAATGCATCGCATTCGCATTTCCAATTACTATTGCCCTTTCCGCGCCGCAATTTGATGTGCTGTGCGGTGTAGTTCGGTGCTGTGCTGACTGGAGCGGTGCTGTGCTGCATGCAGGCTCGCTGGACACTCCGTGGACGACCATCCGCACTGCGACTCTTGCGGTAAGCTCCGTTTCAACTCCTATGTGCCACCGGCGCTGCAGTTTTGCTTTCCGCGCGCCGCTTCTCGTCACGCTCTCACCTTTTTCCGATTTTTTAGGGGCCTAACATCGCTAAAATGGGAAGTTCGAAAAGCAACTCGAAATACACTCTTCCGAAACTTTCCCGATATTTTTTGCCCAGCACTTTTGAGTCAAGGTTTTAAAACTCCATGGCGACAGTCACTTAGAAAGCAACTTTCCCGACACTCTTCCGTCACTAACTGTACACATTGACTCAACTGTCCAAGTATACAGTAAATCAACTTTTCCGTCAATTTGAGCAACCCGTGCGAAAGTGTCACGACAACGCCACGTGGCATACGACGTACTCGAGATGAAACTCCGTTGTGCTGACGTGGCGATTATCGTACTCTAACGTTAACCGTCGGATGCGAATCCGATCGACGAACGTGATCCTACCTTGTGGGCCAATCAGAGCCTGACATTGGTGTACAGTAACAACGTACGATTGGCTGGCGAGGACAGCAAAAACCCTGTTACGTGCGCACTATAATGTGCGTATATCTTCATTACTCAAGTAGAATTCACAACGCATACACTCACGATAAATGTACACCTACACTTAACTTGTAATGCACTGCTAAGTGTCTAGACCGGCTTCCACACCAACCTTAGTACAATCACTACGCCTTTACACAGATAACAAGCTGCAAACTCCGCACAGTTAGGAAACAATAATAACCTGCAACAAAGAGAAGAAAAACACGGTGTGCAAGCAAACAAAATCAACTTTCCGCCACTCACCATCGGTTTCGTAATTCTCGGGTGTGCTACAAAGGGGAAAATTAAACATATTGCGCTTCAAGTTGACGGTAAGCCTGCAAGAAAAGGTACGACGTGCAACACATGCAACCAGAGCGAGATGTTATGCATCCCGCTGAAGATTGCTCCGGCGGGGTTAGTTTTACAGGAGATTTTGCTAAATACCACGACTAATACTTATCATTAGCATAGCCACACTCTGCGGTACAATCGAGGACAGTTAGGTAAACACAGAACGCATGGTGCAAAACTGAATACATTGCGACGACAGTAGATTCGCACCAAACGAAGCAATGAAATGTTACATTGAGCTCAAGTAACAACCTGTGATATCTTGGAACTGAAAAGAGAACGACAATAAAAAGACAGCATAAAACATTACAAATGTATCAAACCATGTGGGCAGCGCGATGCCGCACGCCAAGGAGTCGACGATGATGGCGTGCCTCAAGAAGTCCCTGACACCGCCGTAGCGGAAAAAGTCCATGGCGGGCTGTTAGCTGCATCGAGTTTCCGTCGCCGCCAGCTCTTGGATGCCCCGATCTTTCCGTCAACACCTGCTAGCCGATGTGGAAAACAAAAACAGAGGTAGGGGATGGAAAACAAACGGGCGTCAAAACGAGAGCGAGGTTATCATAAGCGCCTTAGTTAAGAACTTTGCGCTGGCAAGTTAAGCCTAGATATGTCTTGCTTGTGTGAGACGACCTGTGGAAGCGCTTATCAGGACATACAAACACGAATATCAGAGGCTGAAATTGAAGGGAGTCGAAAGTATTACTCAGGGACTGAATACAGGAGAGAGGAAGAAGTCTGGGTTGGTGGTGCGGTGTGCAGTGCTGATGTGTGGATCTTAGAGTTTGTTTAGGCGTGGTTTGGGTGGATGTTTGGTTTAACGGGCCTGCTGACGTGTTGATACATTGGTGGTTGGGGGTTGATTGACTGCTTCCAGAACCAGCAATGATTGGCTGGAAAAAAACTTCAGGATCACACGTCACGCTTCAGAAGATTCCAGCTTCCGTTACATGCGTTAGGTTGGGTGCTCAAGGTTCAGGTTTGAGAGAAAACGAAAATAATGTATGCAGTATTTTAACATCGCTGGACTTCGTGAGTTCGCTTTGTTTCGTTAAGTTTGTGGTTACAATTCGAAACCCTCATCACTCTGCAAAGCCGTATGAAAACTCTCTCAACCGCGCGAAACCGACTGACGCGAAAAGGTTGACGGAAAAGCAACTTCGGGTTGACAATTTCGATTCCGTGTGCCTCTTCGGAACTGGTGTACAGAATGTTGCGATTTTCGTGCGTTGTTTTCTCGCAGCTTTCCGCAACTTTCGGAACCTTCGGAGAAAAACCGAAGGTGTACGCAAGGTGTACGCAGAAAAACCTTCGGAGGCCATTTTTCCCAACATTCCTTTTTCGCGATGAAAGCGTCGTCTCAGTCCACGCGGATTTTATAGGGGAATGTTTATTTTGAGGCGCCTCAAAAACCGGCGGCGCTGCAGTATTACTTTCCACGCTCCGCTTCTCGCCACGCGGAAATGCCGCTTCTTTTGATCCCTTCGCATTTTATATTTAAACTTCTTTAAGTACCTTAACACCATCGCATCATCGCATACGCCGTCGCATGCGCCACTGCATGCGCCATCGCGTGCAACGTCGCGTGAGCCGTGTCGCGTGCGCCATCGCATGCACCATCACACGCGTCATCATCGCATGTGCCTTGGTCGCTGCTGCTCGCCTTGGTCAACAGCAAATCGTTGCTGAATGGCGCCATGCGCCGCGCGCATTTAACAGTTTTTTTTTTATGAATATATAATGAGCGTCATTATATGGGGTCTAAGAGTACCATACAAAATCGACATTGTAAACCACTGCCATGACAAAGTCTAATGGCAAAGAAATAACATAAACAAGCAATGATAATCTGATACAAACGCAAACGTTTCTGGGAACGCAAACAAACTGGAAGTTCGACAAAGCGCCAACCGAAGCTCCAGGGATTGGTTTTTTGTTTCCGAGCCTCTCTAAGGTTCGTAACTTTGCCCAGTGGTTTCTGGGTTAACGAACACTCGCGAAAGCTACTGGACTGTTACTGCATCACCCGACCTGAATCACACGTCCAACCTGCATCACTGTTGCCTGCTGAAGTGCTTTTGAGACACCGCGTGCTCTTTCCCCGTGTGTGCGCTCTCCCGCCCCCTCCGTGTGTGCGCTCTCCTTCCCCCCGTGTGTGCGCTCTCCTTCCCCCCGTGTGTGCGCTCTCCTTCCCCCCCGTGTGTGCGCTCTCCTTTCCCCCGTGTGTGCGCTCTCCTTCCCCCCGTGTGTGCGCTCTCCTTCCCCCCGTGTGTGCGCTCTCCCTCCCCCCGTGAGTGCGCTCTCCTTCCCCCCGTGTGTGCGCTCT